GGAAGGACGGCACCTTCAGCTCCCTGGGACACACACTGCTGCTGGGGAGGAAGGACGACACCTTCAGCTCCCTGGGACACACACTGCAGCTGGGGAGGAAGGACGGCACCTTCAGCTCCCTGGGACACACACTGCCGCTGGGGAGGAAGGACGGCACCTTCAGCTCCCTGGGACACACACTGCCGCTGGGGAGGAAGGACTACACCTTCAGCTCCCTGGGAAACACACTGCCGCTGGGGAGGAAGGACGCACCTTCAGCTCCCTGGGACACACACTGCCGCTGGGGAGGAAGGACGACACCTTCAGCTCCCTGGGACTCCTTTTTGGCCAAATCTACTAGAGATTGCAGGTATTCTCCTACTAGTTTCCTGGCGAGCTGCACGGCTCTCTCTGGGGGTTGGGTCCAAAGGTAGACAGCACCTCATTAACCTCTCTGTCAAACTCCTCCTGAGTGTAGTCATACGCCATGCTTGCTCTGCTGAAGTTAGTTCTTTTGTAGATAGGGTCGCTGTACGGGTACTAGCGTTGCCCTCAATTTGTAAATCCACGAACATGGCTCCGAGCTGCTTTACCTGCACTAGGGCGCCATCCACGCTGCCACCAATGTGCCTGGCACCCCGACTGGGTACCTCCGTTGAAGGATGCTCCTAGTGCTTCCTGAGGTCTCCAAGCACTGCAGCAGACACCACAACCACCGAACCGGAGAAACAATGAATCTCAAGCATATGAATGCTGTAGACAGTTGAATAGGAACCATATGAATAGGTTTACTCTCCTAGCAGTCAAACTGGAACAGCATACAATTAAATCCTCCCCCAATAATGAGACGACTCTTCACTTTGAGGGTTAAGCAGGAACTCCCTGTACTGTCACATACAGTCTCTTTTATTCCCAATCCACAAACATAGTACAGCCCACAGGGCGTTACAAAACCACCAATCACATCACAGTTACATCCCACATATTCCCTCCCCTTATCCTGAGAGGAAACTCAATTATACATACAGTTAAAACATACTTTCTACCCAACTTTCATAACTCCAAAACCATACATCACATTCACATAAAATTACATATTCACAATCAATCCATTCAGGGGAACAACATATTAAAAAATGGCATGAATCAGACAAGGGGTTCAAAAGTTAGTAAAAAGTCCTTTGTGACTAAATGAAGCATGGCTTTCTGGCCCAAACCAGTTTCAGAGTCTTCTATCCTGGAGATAAGTAATTCAATTATCTCCCAGGATAGACACAAGACTCCATTAAGCACATGGTTGCAAAAAGACACAAAACACTTTAAAATACATAAAGTCACATTTACACATAACACACAGACATTTCACATATCCCCAGATAGCTGGGATCTGAGTGCACATTATTAGATGAATGGCACTCAGATCACACAAATAAGCCTTTCTGCAGGGGAAATAAACGGTTTAACCTGCAGGGCCATAGTCCAAAGGGAGCAGGCGAGCAACCAGGCTTCTCCAGTTCACAGTGGCGAGGTTGGTTTCGCCACAGAGGGAGGGGGAGAAAGAAATTGGAGGGGGGGGAGAAGGTAATTGGAGAGGTGGGAGAAGGAAATTGACGGGGGGAGGGGGAGAAGGAAATGGACAGGGGGGAGGGGGAGAGATTGACATCCATCACACACACACACACAATGCACCCCTTGCACACAGAAAAACACACAATGCATTACACACAGACACACATACACAAGCAATGCATCCCTTACACACAGCAACACACAATGCACCCCATACACACACTCAATGCATCCCTTACAGATGCACACACTGCATCCCATACATACACAAACTCACCTTGCAGCCCTTACACATACAAACACAGATTCACACAATGCATTCCTTACACACATCAGGACATCCCCCACACACACACTCCACCCCCTGTGAACAAACTCATTGGTGGAACATGAAGGTGGACCCTGGGACCCAGACCTTGAGCTGTGTAAAGGGCCCTCAAAAAATGGAGCTGCTTCCCGTTCTCCCAGAACATTGCATTTTGTGACCACAGTTACAAACAGCCTCCAGAGATCCTGTTCTACACCAGACCAGTGGAGCCAGACGGCAGCTAGAGCCCATCATCATCCTCATCTGGTTGTAAGTAGGCAATCTAGTATATTATTCGTGGCACTAAGCTCCAATTTACCTCACATTAAAGGGACACTATAGTCCCCAGAACCACTGCAGCTTAATGTAGTGGTTCTGGTGTCTAGCCTGTCCCTGCAGGCCTTTTAATGTAAACACGGCGGCACTGCAGCACTGGTGTTAGTTAACATGGCAGATCATATGGGTGGGGCATTGTGATGTCACATGGGGGGGCGGCAAACTTTACTTTTGCCTAGGGCGGCAAAAATCCTTGCACCGGCCCTGCAGACACTGCATCCCTGTGGACGGACTCGGGGGGGCAGCACTTTGGGCGGACTCGGGTGCAGGCACCGCTGGGCCCAGACCTTGAGCTGTGTCAGGGGCCCCAAAATTTCTGATGGCAGCCCTGGGTATAGGAATTGCTTGCTCCTGATGTATGATGTTTTTGTGTAGTCTATCTCGTTGGGACACTAGTTGGCTCTTGACAACATTCCAATGTTGTGTAACGAGCTGTTTTGGTGTTAGGGTAGAAGCAGGTCTCGATTCATCATTATTATTATAATAGCAGTCAAGCAGGTCTACCTCTCGCTTTGTGTAAAACAGGAATGGTTTGTTCCAGTAGCCCAGTAGCCCACTCTTGGTTCTGTTACTCTGGTTTGTTGGGTGTCTAACTGGTGAGACTGGGATTCAAACCTGTGGATCCCAGTCCTGAGGCAGGGACATTAGAAAAGAAAGAGAATATGAGAGGAAGATATAAATATATTTTTCTTGTAATATTTGTATTAATAATACCAATAATTCTGCAGATCATAGGAAAAGAATGCCCCCTGTTTCTTGTATAGCCCCTTAGCTATTTGTTACTACTGTTCCTCCTGGAATACGAGTCTTCTAAAGTTATACTAAGTTATACTAATTACATTGACGGCATTCCATTCCGAAATTAAAATGAAAGGAACAAAATAAGGTGTTGGCACTGTATCTTTGCCAAAACACAGAGCAGCTCATTTTTATTCATTTACTTATAAAATGTGCCACTGAAACGTTGCCTTTACTGCAGAGCTTGGAGACTGAATTCAGACATGCTTTTATTTCTTAAAGAGGAACTGTCAGATGGGCGGATGGACAGACAGGAAGACAGACAAAAAGAAGGACGGACAGACAAACAGATGGATATATAGATAATATGAACAACATTTGGCTGTTTACACTATGATTGTAGCCTTCTCTCTGTGGTATGTTTTACTGTTTGTACCAAATAAAGTAAATATTGTCTATAGATGAACTAAAGTGCAAGTCAGTCTGAGAAAGAGAAACGAGATTTCTGAATTTACTGTTCTCTATCTTGCTTGCAGGTTAAAAAAAGAAAAGTCCATTGGGGACTCAGCTATGCAGTTAGACACTTTGTAGGAGCCTGATGTGAC